TACAGCTTTAATCACAAGTAACTTATTGAGCTTGATGAATCAGAAACAACAAAAGCTACTCTTTTTCTATTTGATGAACAATTATTGTTTGTGCATTACAAATTTAGTCACATGTTGTTGATCAGAAATGTTTCTAGTATTTGAAATAATTTTGTATTATTTATTCTTTTCACTCAAGTAGAATGTATTTGTTGAAACACTATTGTCACCTTTCTCAATTCAAATCCTTGTAATATCCACATCTGTTATTCCTTATTAATTACATGTTACTGAAGTATTTATAGAATTTGAAATATTTTTTGTGCATAATTTCTTGTTACTCAAGTACAGTGTATATCTTGAGACACTCTACATTCACCTTTCTCAAGTCAAGTGCTTGTGATATCCACATCTGTATTACCTAAATTTATGGAATATTCTGTACTTCCAAAAATTACTGGTTATATAATGAGGACTTCTGAACTTTCCTTAATACTTCCAAAGATGACTGCCAAAGGTTACTGAAAGCATCAATGTGTAGAAAACAGGACCACTTTTCTCACAGCTACACATTCATCCTTTCATTCAGTTTAAATTCTACTTTTATTGTCACTCAAATCATTTTTTCAGATGCTGGTTTGTTTGTTTGGGGCTCAAATGCATTTGGACAGCTAGGGACAGGAAGATTTGGTGGTCATTTGACCACTCCTGCCAAATCTCAGGTATCCATAATTGTGTTCCTTTTTATTTTTAATATTTACCTTCACTCTTTGGGAAGTGTGCCATATGAGTTGTATCTATTGTCTCTATGCTTTTCACAAATTGTTTTTAACATCCATGAGCACAGCAAAAAATGAAGTTTCTTTTTCTAATTTTTTGTTTTCAGTCAGCCACACCATCACTTATTTAATATAATCCATGTATATTCATCATCAATCCTTTTCATGCCTCGTGGCACATGGGGCCTTCACAGAGCTTTTCCACTCCTCTTGATTGGTTGCTGCTGTCCGCACCTCCTCCCATGACCTCCAACCCCCCTCTTGCCTTTCTTCCTCTACTGTACGTCTCCAAGTGGTTTTTGGTCTTCCCCCTCTCCTTTTACCTTCTGGCGCCCAGCTCATAGCAACATGGCAATCATTATTACGATCTTTCCTAAGAAAATGACCAATCATTTTCCATCTACGAGACATCACTTCCACACTCAGTGGCTTCGTGCCTGCCCTTTCCAGTAGCTCTTTGCTGCTGACATGGTCTTGCCATTGGATTCGGAGGATCCTTCATTGGCACCTATTATGGAATACATTCACTGCTTTATCATCTCCTTGTTTGTCTTCCATGTATCAGATCCATAGAGTAACACTGGCACTACTAGAGTTTTCTACAGCCTCAGTTTTGTTTTCCTCAAGATGTTATTAGAGATCCAGATCTTCTTTAAGTTTGTTAAAGGCACCTCTGGCTTTTGATAACCTGTTCTTCAAGTCCTCAGTCATACACCACCCTCTCTGCAAACTTTGGCCCCCAAGTACACGAACTCATCATCATCTTCAATATCCTGTCCATTGATTATCATCTTTTCTTGGTTCTTTGTATTGATCTTCATCGCTTTTGTCTTTTCTTTGTTGATTTGAGTCCCACCCATCTGGCCTCTTCATCCAGCCTTGTTGTTTTAAAAAATGAAGTTTCCATTTCTAATTTTTTGTTTTCAGTCAGCCACACCATCACTTATGTAAGTTTATATTAGGAATTTTTATTTATTTGGCTTCTTTATCTACTCTCTAGTAGTATTTCACAAATGAACAAGTTATCAGTATAACAGCAGGACTAAGGCATTCTTTAATTACTTTGGGTGAGTCAGATAAAACTTCAAAAGAAAACTATGCTCCAGTAAATATGTAAAGAGAGACAAAATTATTAGCTTTGGGGATATCACTCTGATATAACAGAATCCCCTGGACAATGTGCAAGGAAGGGTGAAGTAGCTGGAAGGGGAGTATAGGGTTGTAAATATAGAATACTTCATGCACATGTACAGTGTTAACACACGAGTTGTGGCGTGTCAGAAATCGAACAAGTGAGCGAAGCGAACGAGTGAGATTTCTGATACAAAACAACGAGTGTGTAAACGCTGTGCAAAGCACTTTCCATGTGGTATTATGTTTGTTATATACATACTGAGACTGAACACCCTCCTTAAATTATGACAAGCTTTATTTCAAACGTGGTCAAACAACAATCTCTGAAAGAAAGCAGCTTCGTAAAAAGGGAAAGAGCTCAAATAAAATCCAAAAGTTATGAATCCAAAAGTTACGAATCATGGATAACGAAACGCTTTTCGCCCATGGCTTTCGCCGAGACAGGAACTTTCAATACTAACGATGGAAGAAATGCGAATAAAAACTATTTGCAAAGCGATGGCCTGTGCGGTGTGTATAATCCAAAAGTTATGAATCCAAAAGTTATGAATCGGGGATAATGAAACGCTTTTCACTCATGGCTTTCGCCGAGACAGGAACTTTCAATATTAACGATGGAAGAAATGCGAGTGTGTAAACACCGTACAAAGCACTTTCCATGTGGTATTATGTTTGTTATATACATACTGAGATTGAACACCCTCCTTAAATTATGACAAGCTTTATTTAAACAAATGTGGTCAAACAACAATCACGGAATGAAAGCAGCTTCGTAAAAAGGGAAAGAGCTCAAATAAAATCCAAAAGTTATGAATCCAAAAGTTACGAATCGTGGATAACGAAACGCTTTTCGCCCATGGCTTTCGCCGAGACAGGAACTTTCAATACTAACGATGGAAGAAATGCGAATAAAAACTATTTGCAAAGCGATGGCCTGTGCGGTGTGTATAATCCAAAAGTTATGAATCCAAAAGTTATGAATCGGGGATAATGAAACGCTTTTCACTCATGGCTTTCGCCGAGACAGGAACTTTCAATATTAACGATGGAAGAAATGCAAATATAAACTATTTGCAAAGCGAGGGCTTGTGCAGTGTGTAAAATCCAAAAGTT